GTGTGGAAGCAGTAGCATTCCAGCATTATACAACTGGTGTGGTGATTTGTTGTGCATTGTACTTATTGAATGATGATTCCATTCATGACTAAACTGGCTAAGTGGTCTGTTGATACATGGAATGAAAACATTATGAAGAGCAAATATGTTGACATTTATTTAATGGTAACAACAAACCCTGATCTTCTAAAAATAGAACAAGTTATAATACAGACAAGTCTCACAGCTATGCATATCTTTCGACAGGTGTTCAATTCTTTGGTTGGAACAAAGAAGCCAACTATCATTCTTCGTCAATCAGGTTCTCTACGATCAATTATGTGTTGAGCTACCAGGACATTCTCCATCCCAAAATCAGAACGTACCCTTGATAGCAAATGATAAATGTGACCCAATATGAGAAAACCAGGCTATCTGCGGGAATTATCAATTGGAGATATGGCTTCTTAAAGTTGTGACAGCGGTACCTTATCAAAACTGAGATTATACCAAAAATATATTGTATAAAGAATTTCCTTTCATTTGATACCAAGTTTGCCCTAAAATAACTTGAAAGAGGTCATTTACAGACCTTTCTTTTTGTTGTGTACCATGTAAATAATGCAAGATATAATGATAAAAATGGCTACAACTCAATTTCATTCGTTTAGACTTCTTGTTGCATAAATAAGCATAACTCAGCATTAGATGTGTTAAATGACATGGAAGAAGGACCAAAAGATAGGAAAAACTTTGCTTAATTAAAAAAACCATAAATCTCAATTTTCAATTTTGGAGCATATAGCCTGGTTTTCTCATATCGGGTCACAAATGTTGATAGCTTCCATAAAACTATACTGTAAACTGTCTGTGCATTGATATTGGTAGCAAACTTGAGATAAACTAAGTGTCTGCTAAACCGATCTATGCCACCATGAGTAACAAGCCTCCATTAGTTTGTGGTGAGAGTCTAAAATGCAAAGCATATCTAATATTAATAATTACATCATGTATGTTTACTGAAAGCACATGCATTATCAAAAGTTTGACAACTTTTTAAAACAAAAGCAGGGGTGTAAATGTATTAAGGTAACAATGAAGGGTTAAAAATTTCTCATTATCCTTCATCCTTAGTTTTAAGACAATATTCATACCTACGTGGCTAAATAAATTTGGCCTAGCAACATGATACACAAGTTGCTTGACAACTCCACCTGGCCAGCGTAGAAAAGTACCAGTCTTTCTTAATGCAGCCCTCATTCTTGCTTATTTAAGTTTAAGACCTCTAGATCTCAGCATTTCCATCACTAATGACTCTGTAATAACAGCATTTTCCTCTCTAAATTGTCAATCATAGATTCAGGTTCTTCATACGAAAGATCATTCATGGCATCATTTAACATTCCTATTTCCACAGTTTTCTTGTAAAAATACATTGTAACAGGACTACATACTGTATCATACAGAGAATCAAGAGCCTTTTTGTGTGAGGGACATGTCAAACATACAGGATAACATTACATACCAGTACATTATGGGTGTATTAACTTTTAGCAAAATCCAATTTCACACAGTTTTTATTGTGTGCAAATGAACAGCCCTTCATTAACTTTACTCATACTACCATACGAAATGATTTGTTAGCGAGGCATTACTATTGGCAATTTGTTTTTTGAATAAATTGCCAATATAAAACCTGCCATTTTGTTTCAGACTGAGCATGCTCAATGGCAAATGGCACAAATTTGCGAATATAAATTTTGCCAATAACTATGTACAAACAAATTCGCCAAATATTGCTTTTGCCAATCAGTCATCTCGTGCTGTATTTTAGAGGAGGTGAACTGAAGTTTGGAGGAAATCCCATGTTCTCCTTTATAAATTCCGGCATATAGAAGTTTTATTTGTTGGGTATCTGTGAAATTTTAAGTCACAAATTAAATTTAGTAGTCAAATTCACTTATTTTAAATCTACATGCCAGCAAATTGCACTGTAACAATTACCATGCTGATCTACTGATATGACATGCTGATGATAATCTACTTCATGGTTATATTATTTATGTATAATATTTATTAAAATGACCTGTTATAGGTATGTGCAGTTGATAACTTTTGAGCCAGCTTTCTCCTAAATCATCAATTCAGCTCTTTGCTTCGCTCTGGCTGCAAACTGATGACAACATAGCTGATACATTGTTGTACTGAAGCTACAGTCATATGAAGAACTAGCTACACAATTATGATTGTTCGTGTGAGACAGTAGTAAAATTTTCTGTTTCCTCTATTAAATTAGGAACTGACTTGACAAAATTAGTTGCTCTGAAACTAGTGATGATGCATAGTGTGTAAAAATCATTAAAAGTTGACATGCTTCAAGAATTTCATTGACAATTCATGATTCTACTGGAAAGACTGATGTGAATATTGCATTTGATATCTGCGAAAGTGAAGCAACTAGTTGTCACACATTTCAGAAAGAGATGATGACCTAGATGTAACATTTTTCTTTCCTAATTTTGGCTTTGCAAGCAATT